TTTTTTATACACGTGTTAGCATACAAGCGTGTGTTATTAAGAGTGCAAGAAGGCTCTTAACAAAGCTCTTTGCCGATATATGGACTAGACTATAGACTATACTATAAACTAGATTATAGACTAGACCATAGATTAGAAAGTAGAGTATACTAAAGACTAGACTATAGTCTTGACTAGATTCAGACTATATAGTAGACTTTAGATCAGACTAGAAGATAGACTGCACCATAGAGTAGACTAGGCTATAAGATTGACAATATATAGATTATATACATATAGATTATACCAAAGAATTTTGTAAAAATTTTCTCAAATCATATATGTATGTATATCCGAGGTATGTTAAACACCCTTTATTTAATGTCCCTCAAATAACTACTTTTTCCTTATTTTTCTTATCATCCTGTTGCTTAAACGTTAAATTTCTTTTACAATATTCTGGAAACCTAATACAATTGTATGTGCTGTCATAAATCATGTTCACATCACAATAATAATGGGTACAACCAGCAGACGGATATAGCGACATACTTCGATTTTTTATTCGTTTTTATTGGTTCTTATCTAGATTAAATTGGCAATAAAAAATTTACTATTTTAACAATTTCCAAAATTGTTAAATAACACTATAATTGTAAGGGGGGGATAAAGCAAGTTATATTTTTTTTATATGAAGGTCAACCGACAATTTACTAAGAAACATTATTAAATTGTAATCAATTATTGTCAATTTATGATAAAATTTAAAAGTAATTGAGAATTTGCATGTTATTAAAAAAACGCACAATTTAAACCTGTAATAAAACAACCAAATATTTGATTAAATAATTAAAACGTTTTTAGTAAAAAAGTTATTTTAATGTTAATGTATAAATTTGTATTAAAAATGTTATGTCTCGTTAAAACTAGATATAAACAAGTAAGAGTGTTATATTCGGCTATGCCGAATCTTATATACCCACCATCAAACCTCGTTTGACTAGAATGAAACTTACTTATGTCGAATTTCATCTATATACTCGTATTTTTTAGGCCAGTTTTAAGCGTTAAAGTAATTTTCTGAAGGGGACCTTATATAGGGGGTAGGGTCAATTATGGGTCGATCCTAATATAATTTGGTAGACAGAATTTGGTTCGTATTAAATTTATTTGTGTCGAATTTCATCGCTACACTCGTATTTTTAAGCCACTAATGAGCGTTGCAGTCATTTTCTAAAGGGGACCTTATATGGGGGGTAGGGTCAATCATGGACCGATCCTCATAAAATTTTTTAGATAGATTTTGACTCGTATGAAACTTACTTATGTCGAATTTCATCTATATACTAGTATTTTTAAGCCAGTAATGAGCGTTAAAGTCATTTTCTGAAGGGGACCTTATATGGGGGGTAGGGTCAATTATGGACCGATCCTCATAAAATTTTGCATAATGATTTTGGATCATAAGAAACTTACTTATGTCGAATTTTATCGCTATATTCGTATTTTTAAACAAGTTATGGCTGTTGAAGCTGCTTTTCGAGGGGCCACTTGTATGGGGGCTATCAGAAAATGTGGACCGATATTGCCCATTTTCAATACCAAACAAACCTTACCTGTAAGAAATATTTATGTGAATTTTCAACCCTCTAGCTCTTTCCATTGGGACTCTATCGTGCTTTTAACAGACAGACAGACAGACAGACAGACGGACGGACAGACATGACTAGATCGACTTAGAATTTAATGAGGACCCAGAATATATATACTTTTGTGGGTTTATGACCAATATTTCGACGTGTTACAAACGGAATGACAAAATCAATATACCCCCCATCTTTTTTGATGGTGGGTATAAAAATAGGGTTCTATAAATCGACTTTCGAATAATCGAACAATCAACTTTTTGTCGAAAAAAGTCGAAAAGTCGAAGTCGACTATTTTGTTCCAAAAAAGTCGATAACTCGACTATCGTCTATGAAAAAAGTCGAAAAGTCGACTTTGTAAGTAAAAGTCGAAAAGTCAAAAAATCGGAAAGTCGAAAAAAGTCGAAAAGTCGAAAAAAGTTGAAAAGTCGAAAAAAGTCGATAAGTCGAAAAAAGTCGAAAAGTCGGAAAAAGTCGAAAAGTCGGAAAAAGTCGAAAAGTCGAAAAAAGTCGAAAAGTCGAAAATTTTAAAAAAGTGGAAAAGAGGTCAAAAACTCTAAAATAGTCGGAAAAACTCGAAAAAAGTAAAAAAATAGTCGAAAAAAGTCGAAATAAATCGAAAATAGTCAAAAAGTCGTAAAAAATCAAAAAGTCGGAAAAAGGCGAAAAGTCGGAAAAAGTCGAAAAAAGTCGAAAAGTCGAAAAAAGTCGAAAAGTCGAAAAAAGTCGAAAAGTCGAAATAAGTCGAAAAGACGAAAAAAGTCGGAAAAAGTCGAAAAGTCGAAAAAAGTGGAAAAGTCGACCATTTATAAAATACTAAAAGTCGAAAAGTCTAAAAGTCGACTTTTAAATAAATGAAAAAGGTCGAAAAGTCGAAAAATCGACTTTTCATAAAATGGAAAAAGTCGAAAGGTCGACTTTTCGTTTCAACTATAGAACCCTAGTATGTATATATCGGGAAAAAGTATCTATACCTATACAAGAAAAGATCCTTCAAAGCGAACGTCTTATTATTTTGGTATTTCTCCTTTTAAAATATCTGTACATTCTATAGAAAATTTTTGCGTCATCGATATCATTTCGTATTACTCCCTTATATTGTGGTAATTATGGCTGCCTTAAAATCTGATGAAGAACTTATGAAAATGACGGGCGAAGAAATATCAAAAATGTTTGAAGATCTAGACAAATTTTATATGCCTCTAAAATTTTCTGGTCTTTATATCATAAATTTTTTCAAAGAAAAAAATCCCAACGATGGTGAAAGAACACGCGACATATTTACAATACTTAGATTAATGCTAACCAAAGGTCCTAAAGCATTATTATATGGGGGAAGAAGTGTTTCCGCTGAAGAATTGTGTACAATCAATTCTTTAATTGCTAAATACGAAATCAAAAAAGATCCAACAACTACAAGAACTGTCACATTATCCAGAATTGTTGCTGCTTATGCTCCATATGCCTTTAAACTTTTGGTAGAAGAACCAAATCTTCATAGGCCGGTGCCAAATAGTACCATGCAGAAACTTGGCTATATAAATTTTCCGAAATATTTAAGTGGTCCTTTTATATTTGGAATGATTGCTCCTTATACAAATATCAAACGAGAGATATACGCCATGATTCTAGCGGCACTCCATTATATGATTGAAGAATCATTTGTCTTTAAACGGAATAAAAATCCAACAGATTATGAAAAGGAAGCAGAATATAGGCAATGTTTGAGCTACGCAATATCAAGAGTGAAAGATAATTATATTTGGTGGGAGTCACATAACAAAAAACTTCGTAATGATAACGCCCCGGAAAAAAATATTGCTGAGATGTGGATAAAAAGTTTTGAAAAAGCTTTCCCCAATAAAAATATTTTGAGTGAATTACATTTAAAAATTTGTCTCCAATAAAAGTAATTTGTGTGAATAATCTTTAAAATTTTGTCCTTTTAAATGTAATTGATATTTCATATCCTGTATTAACTTTAATGTTTTGAACTGAAATCCCTTAATGTCCATGTATTGAATGCTTTTGAACGCTTCTAATAAATATGTTATTATATATCTATGTCAAAAAAATTTCTAATCCTGGGTGATTTTATTCTGCAACTAAACTACAGTCTAGTCTAATCTATAGACTAGTTGTCATTCTATTCTATTAGTTGATAGTCTAGTCTATAGACTAGTTTATAGTCTAGAATATTTACTAGTTTATAGTCTAGTATATATACTAGTTTATAGTCTAGCCAATAGAATAGTTTATAGTCAAGTCTATAGACTATTTTATAGTATAGTCAATGGAATAATTTAAAGTCTAGTTCATAGCCTAGTGTATAGACTAGTTTATAATGTAGTCTGTTGAATACTTTATAGTCTAGTCAATAGCATAGTTTAAAGTCTAGTCTATAGAATAGTTTATAGCCTAGTCTATAGAATAGTTTATAGTCTACTCTCTAGACTAGTTTACAGTCTATTCTATAGACTAGTCTATAGACTAGTTTCTAGTTTATAGAATAGTGTGTAGTCTTGTCTGTGTACTAGTTTATACTCTAGAGTATAGACAAGTCTATAGAGTAGATTAAGGTCTAATCCATAAACTAGTCTACAATATAAACACGGAATATCTACAGTTTAGTTTAAAACTGAAACGAGGTGATTTACAAATTAAACCTTCTAAGTTTTCTAAAATTTCCTCACATTAGTTTGTGCATCATTGAATTGCGGTTAATATTTTAGAGATTTTATTATTTTATTTAATTAATATATAAGTTTATTGTTTGATTTGTTTTACAATACATTTTATTTATATATTTCTATTAAGATTTAAACATTTATTAGCATACACTTACATAATTATGTATGTAAATTTGTATGTATATGGAGACTTAAATTGGTATAACATCAATTATAAAATAGATTTCTAAGATTTGTTTTTCCTTTTTTTTTTTTTGTTATTAAATAGCTATTATATATAATAATAATATATATAAGAAACACTTAACTAAATATATAATTTTTCTTTAAAAAAAAAAGTAGTAAATATAAAAAAGTATAGGAGAGGGGTGGTGGTAACGTTTTAAAAAAAAGCAAAAGTCAGTAATAGTAAAGTAATTTAAAAAGAACTGTAACAGTTTTCTTTACATCTTAAAGACAACAATTAAAAGAAATTTATAAAATAATATTTATAGTTGTTGTTTGTAGTAGTTTAAACTGGTTTAAGTTATAGTATTGAAGAATAATTTATTTAAATTGTCCAGCCAGGTCAAAATGTCTTCTTTCAGTTGTTGCAGGATGACGTTGATTATTAGGATTATTCATATGTTCCATACTGATTTTACTTTTTTTACTTGTTGGCGCCCCTTGACATGAGGGCATTGTATGTTAGAATAGTCTCTTCTCGTAGGAGAAAAGACCATGTACATTACCTTCCAATTGAGCGGAATGAGTACGTTTCATGAAACGCAATTTACCAGTATAAATAGAAGCACGTAATTCATCAATAGATCTGGAGCCAATATCTTGCAAACTATGCTGTAGACCGACTTCCAAATAGGGCAAGTAACGTAAAACGGAACCCTTGTCAACAATACTGCCACTAACACCTTGAGCCACCTTCAATTTATCCATGTCGTTGTGATAGTAGCGAGACATGGCGGCACCTTTGGCATCACGTCTCTCCATAGCTTCCAAGGAACCCATACCACGATATTTCTTCAAGCGTACACCATCGGAGAAGAAATATTCACCGGGAGCCTCTGAAGTACCAGCCAATAAAGAACCCATCATAACAGCGCTGGCGCCTAAGCACAAAGCTTTAACAATATGACCAATTGATTGTATGCCACCATCGGCAATAATGGGTACACCGAATTGTTTGGCATATGTGGAGACTTGATAGACGGCGGTGGCTTGGGGACAACCACAGGCCATTACCTCTTGGGTAATACAGATGGAACCGGAACCCATACCGACACGCAAAGCATCAACGCCAGCATCAATCAGATTCTTAGCTTGGGCACGGGTAACAACTGCAAGTGTTAAAAAAAGAGAAAAGCAAAGAAATAATGGTTTATGAGTTATAATGAGTGCAGTGTGTATTAGAGAGTAAAGGAAACAACGATCTAGTTGTTAAAAATTCTAAAAGGATTTGTTTTAGAGGGCTTTTTTAAGTTTGAAAGTGTTTAAATGAAATGAAGAAAACATTTAATTAATTTCTAGTTCTGTCTAGCTAAGTTCTTGTTCAGTTCTGTTCTAGCTCAGTTCTAGTTCAGTTCAAGTTCAGTTCAAGTTCAGTTCTAGTTCAGTTCTAGTTCAGTTCTAGTTCAGTTCTAGTTCAGTTCTAGTTCAGTTCTAGTTCAGTTCTAGTTCAGTTCTAGTTCAGTTCTAGTTCAGTTCTAGTTCAGTTCTAGTTCAGTTCTAGTTCAGTTCTAGTTCAGTTCTAGTACAGTTCTAGTTCAGTTCTTATTCAGTTATAGTCCTATTTTAATTCTGTTCTAGTTTAGTTCTAGTTCAGTTCTAGTTCAGTTCTAGTCCAGTTCTAGTTCAGTTCTAGTTCAGTTCTAGTTCAGTTCTAGTTCAGTTCTAGTTCAGTTCTAGTTCAGTTCTAGTTCAGTTCTAGTTCAGTTATAGTTCAGTTCTAGTTCAGTTCCAGTACAGTTCTAGTTCAGTTCTAATTCAGTTATAGTTCAGTTCTAGTTCAGTTCTAGTCCAGTTCTAGCTCAGTTCTAGTTCAGTTCTAGTTCAGTTCTAGTTCAGTTCTAGTTCAGTTCTAGTTCAGTTCTAGTTCAGTTCTAGTTCAGTTCTAGTTCAGTTCTAGTTCAGTTCTAGTTCAGTTCTAGTTCAGTTCTAGTTCAGTTCTAGTTCAGTTCTAGTACAGTTCTAGTTCAGTTCTTATTCAGTTATAGTCCTATTTTAATTCTGCTCTAGTTCAGTTCTAGTTCAGTTCCAGTACAGTTCTAGTTCAGTTCTTATTCAGTTATAGTCCTATTTTAATTCTGTTCTAGTTTAGCTCTAGTTCAGTTCTAGTTCAGTTCTAGTCCAGTTCAAGTTCAGTTCTAGTTCAGTTCTATTTCAGTTCTAGTTCAGTTCTAGTTCAGTTCTAGTTCAGTTCTAGTCCAGTTCTAGCTCAGTTCTAGTTCAGTTCTAGTTCAGTTCTAGTTCAGTAGTAGTACATGTAGTTCAGATCAAGTTTAGTGCTGTTCTAGTTCACATTTAGATCAATAATAGTTCAGACCTTATTAAGTTGTAATTCAGTTCTGTCTAGATCAATTCTAGCTCTGAGCAAAACTTTTCAAATTTTCGCTTAATTAAATTGGGGTTAGGCTTTTAATTAAATTGAAACTTTCGTTAAATATTTAAAAACTTTCAATAATATTTCATACAACTCACCATTTCCACCGATAACTTGCAATTCAGGATAAGTATTCTTAATATATTTAATCATCTCAACCTGATAAATGGAATTGCCCTGTGATGAATCCAAAACAATAACATCAACACCGGCGGCAGCCAAAAGCTTAAGACGATCCTTGTCCTCGGGACGAGTACCAATGGCGGCACCCACCAACAACTGTTTATTGCTATCTTTCGAGGCGTTGGGGTAAGAACGAGCCTTTTTCAAATCTGTGCGTGCTATAAGGGCCACCAATTCGCCATTTTCATTGACGATGGGCAATTTGCCCTTTTTGCTCTTTTCCAAAATGTCATTAGCCATGGGTAGATTAATGCCATTGGGAGCAGTGATCAGATCAGTGGTCATTATGGTGCCCAATTTGATTTCAGGCTGGTTTTCGCGAAAATCAATATCGCGTGAGGTGACAATACCCAAAAGTTTGCCGCCCAAGTTACCGTTCGAGGTGATGGGATAACCGGTGAAACCGTTCTTGCGGCGGGCTTCCAAAACATCACCCACGGTATTATCGGGCGACATAACTGAGGGATCACGGATGAAACCATGTTTGTATTTCTTAACCTTATGAACCTCATTGGCCTGGTATTCGGGAGTGCAGTTGTGGTGTAAAATGCCAATGCCACCACCCAACTAAAATTAAAAAAAAGAGGTGGAGATAATAAAAATTAGATGGGGAGAAGTTTTAGTTTAACTTACAGCCATGGCTATGGCCATTTCCGACTCTGTAACTGTGTCCATGGGGGAAGAGACCAGGGGGGCACGCAATTTTATCTTTTTGGTAAGTGGAGAACTTAGATCTACTTCTTCGGCAGTAAAATCTATATAACCGGGCAGGATAAGGAAATCACTGGAAGGAAAGTTAACATTTTTTACATCGGTTTTATTTAAATAGGTCTAAGGGCCAACTTACTTGTAGGTCAAACCCTCAGCATTGGCAAACAACTCCTGGCAAGATAAACCATCTTGTAAATTATCTTCAGCGGGAGTTGCTACAAAACCATTGGTGGGCACTACGTTGTTAGCAGACATATTGTTGGCTTTGATGTGTTTTGGGATAAATGGAATTAATTTTTTCTTTGGCACTAATAAATTTTTAAACAAAATTTACTAACGGCGTAATTTGAAATTGTTTTAACAATAAATTTTGTATTTTATGCAATTGCTTTTTTAAATTTTTTGCTTTTAATAAATTTTCTACAATTATTAATTAAAGCAGCGAATGTTGACTCTGGAATTGGCACAGAAAATAAATAAAAACAATTGAAAAAACGTAAAATCTGTTGTTCTAAACTTTTTTTGTAATTGAAATTTTTTATAAATTTTTTGAAAAGCACATTTTTTTCCGGAATATTTACCTTCCGTAGAGATGCGTTGCTCTCAATGAATCGACACCAAATGAGCAAAGGCGAAGATGTAGATAAAAAGAAAACTTGCAAGAAAAATGAACGCACAAAGCAACCACGTGTCCCACAGAGCTGTAAGAAAAGTATAATTAATTTTATTAAACAAATAATTATTCTAAACCAATTAATACAAATTAAATAATAATTTCTTCCTTTAACTAAATAATTCTTAACAAAATAATACAATTTTAATTCAAAAATTAAAAATAAACAAAATGTACTTAAAATAGCAACTCTGTTTGGCGAAAAACATAAAAACACACTGAACATACTCCGTCAGTAAACATAGCAAAAGGGAAAGATAAAAAACTTTGACAGTTGTCTAAAATAAGGAGTAAACATTGAAATTTAAGAAATAATTTTTATTTTTAAACAAATTAATGAAAAATTTTGTTTAAAATTTCTTAAAAAATATAGAAAACATGAGTTTACCACCTGCTTTATTGGCACGACTGGCCCAACGTGGTTTGGTAAATAAACAAAAGGCACAAAAAGAAAATGGTAATAATCAATAATTACTCCCGGTAAAAGCAATTCCTTAACATTTTTTATCAAAACATCTTAACTATAGAACCTCCTGCCCTAACGTCGGCCGCAGAAAATGAGGAAGTTATTGCTGAGGACTATGATGAAATGGACAGTGATAATCAGCCTGCCCATAATTCTGAAGAGTATCAATATCCCACCCAATATGATTTGGATCATGATCAGGTACGCAAACCCATGGAAGACAATAACTGGTTGGCCCAAATGAAGGTGCGCATGGGAGAAGCCAGTTCGGCCAATGGTTATAAATGCTGTCCCAATAAATACAATATTTGGCATAAATGCACCCTCTATTGTGTCAATCGCTGGGGAGAAGGTATAACCAAACCTTCCGCGGAATATATGAAACGTTATAAACGTTTAATACGTAAATATCCTTTACCCAAGGGTTGGGTAGAAATGTATGATCCCGGTTGTGGTTGTTATTATTTTGCTTGTGAAACAGAAAATGTGGTATCTTGGTTGCCACCCACTCATCCCAAATCAGAGGTGACCAAATGTGCTGCCGCTATAAGAAAACAAATGGAAGAATCTAGCGGCGAACAGATTAGTGATGGTGAACCCATGTCAGATGTAGACGAAGAACCAGTAAAAGAATCGGCCCAGGCTAGACATCATCGTGAAGTAGAGGAAATTATTAATGCCTCACTAAGGCCTAAATCACCACGCACTTTGGATTCACACGAGTTTCCATCCTTGCAAGAAGTGGCTGGTAGTCCTACAGTGGCCTTGCCACGTAAACAAAAATCCCGTGACTTGGATAGAGCTCTATCGCGTCAAAGAAAAGATCGCGGCGATCGCAGCGAACGTGTTGAACGTGATAGAGATCGTTATTCTGGTCATGGTGGTAGTAATAGACGTCATCATGGACGTAATAATGATGATATATTGGATCCTATGGATCCAAGCGCTTATTCGGATATACCACGTGGTAAATGGTCTGATGGCTTGGTCGTGGGCGGTGGTGGTGATGATAGAAAAAAGAAATCAGATGATTCGAATAAGCGTGACAAAAGCGACAGAGATTCAAGACGTTCAGATCATTCGGATGATGAAGATTAGTTTGGAAAATAAACTACATATTGCATAATTATATATGTATTATAAGAAAAAAAAAATAAATTCGAATTTAAATTAATTTTATGGTTTTTTTAATTGTTCTAAATAGAAACAAATTTATTTTACTGAGTTTTCTATAGAAAAACTTAAGTATAACAGTCTATTCTAAAGAAAATTTTGTGTATAAAATATGTTTCTTAATAAAAATTACGTATAACATAATTTTTATTTATTTTTAAGAGCTTTGTGTATTACAAATTTTATAAACTTTGTGTATAACAGTTCTTTCTTTAGAAAATTGCGTTTTCTTGTGTATAAGTTTTGTTCTTTACACAAATTATTACTTATCCAATTATTGATAGATATACAAATCTGTGTATAACACATTTCTATAAAATGTATGTATAACAGTTTTTTTACAGAAAAACGTTTGTATAACCTATAGAAAATGTGTGTATAACTGTTTTTTTACAGAAAATGTGTGTAAAACAGTTTTTTTTCTATAGAAAAACATGTGTATAACAGGCTTTTATACGGAAAAATGTGCGTATTTTTTACCAAAAATGTTTGTATAACAGTATTTTTACAGAAAAATGTGTGTATAACACATTTAATTTAATTTAATAGTTTTTTCTATAGAAAAATGTATATATAACAGTTTTTCTATAGAAAAACGTGTATGTATAACAGTTTTTTATAGAAAAAAAGTGTGTATAACAGTTTTTTTTATAGAAAAACGAGTATATAACAGTTTTTTATACAGCAAAAAACTGTTTTTTTTATAGAAAATTGTGGGTATAACAGTTTTTTCTATAGAAATATGTGTTTATAACAGTTTATTCTATAGAAAAATGTGTTTTAGTTTATTCTATAGCTAATTTTACTCTTAACTGTTTCTTTTTATTTAAATATTTGTGTATAACAGATTTTCTATATACACATTAATGTATAACCGTTTTTCTGTTTCATTTCGCCATCTCTGTGTTACGACCTTAATTTACCTTGGAATAATAGTTCAAAACACTAAATGTTACTGTCATTTTATTTCCCCTTATTTAATAATAATTACCAAAAATTAAAAAACACACCCCTCTCTAATTGAGAGCAACAATAACAACAACAGCAGGAATGAATTTAAAATTTTTCATTTACTTTTTCGTTAAAATGAAAAGAAAACGAAAGTCTTTAAAAAGATAAACAAAAAGGGAAAATATAAGAAAAACAACAACTACTAAAAGGAAATCATATTATAATAAAAACAAACAACAACAAAAGCATTAAACTCAAACACACCCTCTCTCTGTTGAAAATATCAGCAACAGCACTAAAGAATGAAAATGAATGAATTGTACGAACAACAAGGTGGTGATGTTAACAACAACAAACATTTAACAATAACAAGAATATTACTTTACGCAAAACAACAATGGAAAAACAGAAAGGCAGACAGACAAATAACACACTCTAAAAACTCTGTTTGTTAGACTGTCGTCCGTCCGCCAGTAAAGTAACATCCGTAAGTTTTGTGTGTTGGTGTGTTTGTTGTTTTTTTTTTTTTAATTTCTTGTGAATTTTTCTGAAATGAATTCCTGAGCTCCTGTTACTTTTGATGAATTTGAGGCGTATCTAGGGCGTGGTGGATGTCGGCGACCTTGGGTGTGTTTGTTCCGCTATTTCGCTTTAACAAGGCTGGATTTAAAATATTTTTTACATTTGATGTGATTGTCTGGGCTGACTGGCTAGCTAGCTAACACAGACTGGGTGTTTTAGGCGCTGCCAGCATTTCTTACTTTCGTTATTATTGTTTTGTTGTCAGCAAAAATGTTCTTCAACCAACATTATTATTCTCGGTCAATAATAATAATAAACACCACTCACCACCACCTCATTCTAACAACAAACATTTTTAAATTGTGTGTGTTTTTTTTAATACCAGGGGGTATGTACTTTAAAAAGTAAAATGTTGTTGTTGTAAAACAGCTGACTGGTTGTTTGTATTGTATTGGCCGGTATTACGAAATAATCGTACAAACATTTAGTTGCGCTATCAAAAGCCTACAATAAAGAGTAAATGGCCTCTAACGTTTGTAATTTGAGCGTTTAATATGAGCTGTTTGCTGCTATTTAAAAGTACACTGTAAAAAAAATATATGAAAAATTTACATAAAACAAACTTAAGAAAATTTTGATTTTTTTTATTATTTTTTATAGGCAATTTTATAAAATTTATTTCTTTCATAAATTGTCTTTTTAGGATTTTATTTAATCCTTTTCTCTCAGTGTAGCCAAATACAATTGTAGGTTGGCAATATGAGACATACGGCCGGCATAAGCTGTAAAGTTGATAACAGGTCTTTAACAAATGAACTTAGTTGTGGGTGGTGGGTAAAATGCAAAGAGATTTTTCCATTAAATCGTTTAGCTCAATGAACAAATGAAAAAAGGTTTCAATGATATTTAATTATAAAATATTTCATATTATTTATCATAGTTTTTGTTTCTTTTACTCTCTATACATTTGCTTTAATTATCCTTTTTTCTTACCACCACCTCTACTTTTGTTTTAGTAACACAAACGAATGTTTTACATTTCCTTGTGTATTTTATTTTTAGCAACTGTGCGAGAGAGAGTCAAAAGAAAACAGTCTTCTTAAATGAGTTTCAGTTTTTGTAGGTGTTTCCTTTAAGATTCTCTTTTCTTTTCCTCTTTCTATCTTTTAAAATGAAATTCTTGCTGTTAAAAGTTTAAATGTGTGTGTGTGTCATTTTTTATTTAAATATCCGAATCAGTTTTATTCTTAAATTAATTGTTAACGCCTCATAACATAATAATTGCATTTTTCATTTCTTTGCTCTTTAAATTTTCTCCTAAATCGGAACAATATTAATTAGGGTTCTATAAATCGACTTTCGAATAATCGAACAATCGACTTTTTGTCGAAAAAAGTCGAAAAGTCGAAGTCGACTATTTTGTTCCAAAAAAGTCGATAACTCGATTATCGTCTATGAAAAAAGTCGAAAAGTCGACTTTGTAAATAAAAGTCGAAAAGTCGGAAAGTCGAAAAAAGTCGAAAAGTCGATAAGTCGAAAAAAGTCGAAGAAAGTCGAAAAAAGTCGAAAAGTCGAAAAAAGTCGAAAAGTCGAAAAAAGTCGAAAAGTAGGAAAAAGTCGAAAATAGTCGAAAATTTTAAAAAAGTGGAAAAGAGGTCAAAAACTCTAAAATAGTCGGAAAAACTCGAGAAAAGTAAAAAATAGTCGAAAAAAGTCGAAATAAGTCGAAAATAGTCAAAAAGTCGTAAAAAATCGAAAAGTCGAAAAGTCGGAAAAAGTCGAAAAGTTGAAAAAAGTCGAAAAAAGTCGAAAAGTCGAAAAAAGTCGAAAAGTCGAAAAAAGTCGAAAAGTCGAAAAAAGTCGAAAAGTCGAAAAAAGTCGGAAAAAGTCGAAAAGTCGAAAAAAGTCGAAAAGTC